TTCGGATCTCCCAAGTTAAAGTCAAACGTACACGTGGTTCCTCCAGCAGAAGCATGGATGATGTGGAAGAGTCCATGGGCAATGCACTTCCCACAGCACAATTTGTGCTCAACGAGCTCATCGGCAGCCCACCCCATGGCCTTTTGCCAGTCGTGTTGGAGGATATTGCTGAAGAAGTCAGACAGCAGTCTCAAGAGAGTGAAAAGCGAAGCTTGCACCCATCAGAAGCGCGGGCACTATTGGACAAGCTTATGGCCATCGAGGAATGGGAGCAATGGGAGTCTGGTTGTGTGTGGTCAAAAGATGATGACACAGATGAAGTTTCATCAGACGAGGCGTAGCAAAGACGTCCTAGATAATAACGACCGGGTAGAGGAGGATTGATCAATTGGGGCTCATGGGAGTAGGAAATGACTGTTTGTGTTGTGCTGATAGTGTTGGACAATTTATTCTGTTAAGTGTTTTGGTTGTGTTTTGGAGTTGCAGCATTAATAACATGTGGATTATTCATTTAGTAAAGCAGACTGAGGGATTGTGGGCTGAGAGCTGAGATTCCTTGTGTGATTTGTGATAGTAACGTATGAAGAATATGTGAAAATTGTAATCCCCTGAGCTTCTATGCATCCCATATATTTCTGTACACAGATGACACATGTAAACAACATCCTGGCAAGTATACAGCATAGCCTAAACAAGGTCAGGTATAGGCTGTCATGTAAACATGAAGGCCTATTATGTGATGCCTATAGCAGTCTTGTAATAGGCACTCGTGTACACACACACTTGTATAGGCACTGTTGTTTACAGCATTACATGTAGACGCATGCATATACCTGGCAAGTATACAGCACTACCTAAACAAGGTCAGGTATAGGCTGTCATGTAAAGGGCATCACATATTACTTGATGCCTATAGCGGTCTTGTAATAGGCGCTCATGTACACACGCACTTGTATAGGCACTGTTGTTTACAACATTACGTTTAGACGCATGCATATACCTGGCAAGTATACAGCACAGCCTAAACAAGGTCAGGTATAGGCTGTCATGTAAAGGGCATCACATATTACTTGATGCCTATAGCGGTTATGTAATAGGCGCTCATGTACACGCGCACTTGTATAGGCACTGTTGTTTACAACATTACGTGTACACATATCTGTATAGCTTGGAAGTATACCGCATAGCATAAAGAAGGTCAGGTATTCTACATATATACAGGGTCCTCTATTAGGCAAACATGTACATATGTCCCTCTTTAGGTCTGGGCCTTTATTTCTCGTATAATACGTGTACACCTAACTGGCCTATATACCTTTCACCTATTTTCCAGAATATCTCGCCTATACAATGCCCGAAAAAATACAGACGTCAGCCAGCTCAGCATACAACAGCCTGTGGGGTGGCTGTGCTGCCCCAACTACCTGCCTCATGAAAAAAATCTGCAGCTGGACTGCCCCATCCTTCAAACAAGCTTCAAACATACCCTCCACAAGATTGGCTTTATCCTGCCGCCTTCCCGCCCTGTCCACAACCGCTGCCAGCATAAAAGAGCCCCACACCTGGCAGCCACACAACAGAATTGCTCGTACTTGGGCTGCAATTATTTTACATAATTATTTGAGATATCAGTTGTGAAGATTAGTTTATGTCTAAGATGATTTACAATGAAATATCAAAAAGGTGGGGAAAGAGAAGCAATTAAGGGTGAGATCAAAGACCTTGAGGGCAAGATCAAAGACCTTGAGGGCAAGACCAAAGACCTTGAGGGCAAGATAGTGCAGCCAGGTGGTACTCGGACTGTGCAGATGTGTTTGACTGTGGCTGTAGACATGCTGGAGCTTCACCATGTTCAATGTTGCTGTGGCCATGGCCTCGGCGACCTTCATGACCAGTGCATCCATAGCACTGTCACCTGCGTGGTGGGAAGAGTATGCATCGGTCAGCAGCAGAGGTAGATCCCCACCGGCTCCCTGCGATAGCTCAATCATATACATACTAACATTTGTGCAACAGTTGCAGGTAATAATAATAATGGCAATCGCGTATTTCGCCCACACGCAAAGATGCCCATCGAACACATGGCCCACACATCAGACTTTTATAACTGGAGACACAGCTTATAAGTCTGTATATCCATATACTTTACTGGCACAACTGTCAGATGATCATGGGGGCTGGGCAACAATGCCACATCATCACAGCAACCGGTCCTGTGCCCGCACGACTCACCACCCACAAGGCGATTCTTCTCCTTCAGGTCCTCCGCAAGCTGTACCTGCAGGCCCGCAAGCTGTTCCTGCAGGCCTGCAAGCCGCCTGCCCAGGGCCGCTTCTGCAGGTAGCTCCGCTCCTCCTTATCTTCTGCCGCTTCGAGATTGCCTTCAAGGTCATTGATCTTGCCCTCGAGGTCTTTGATCTCGCCCTCAAGGTATTTGATCTCGCCCTCAAGGTCTTTAGTGTCGCCCTTAATTTCTGCCTTCTCTTTCACCACCTCTTCCATCTTTGCCTGAAATTTCGTTGTAAATCATCTTAGACATTACCATATCTTCACAAGTCGCGTGTTATCATAAATAATAATGCGACGCCACAATGGCGCCTTCTGCCGTACTTGAACCTACTTGCCTTTTTGGCGCGCGCGCGTTCTTCACCATTCTTGCTAATACGGTTACTACCGTAAACCCTTACATTCCCCTTGCTTGTCTCCTTCGCCTCTCTCCCCACCTCGTCGCCACCTTCTCTTCCTACCTCGTCGCCACCTCCTCTTCCTACCTTGTCACCACCTCCTCTACCATGTGTTCCCGTGCGTTTCATGCATTCCCTTGTGTTTGCATGCACTCCAGTGCGTTTCCGTGCATTCCCGAGTGTTCCCGTGCGGTCCCGTATGGGAACACGTGGGAACGTACGGGAACGCATGGGAACACTCGGGAATGCACGGAAACGCTCAAGAACGCAGGGGAACGCACGGTCGCAGCGGGCGATTGCGTGCGGCTAACTGCACCAGTAGACACAGCATCCATGGCGACTACACCAGTAGATCAGGAAGTTTACTAAGAATGCCACAGAGCTTACATTGCAAGAACACCACACAGCTATGTGTGGAAGGAGGGTAGGATCCGGGCTGGAATTGGGGAAGAGCTCTGTCGCAGAATAAGCCTGGATTTTATTCCTGTCACAAGAATTGGTCCGCCGGGGTCTTGGGTTGTTCTGGCGGGCTCGCCTGAGGTATTCGAATTGCGCTGTGCAGCCCCGGAATTGCGCTGTGCTGGGCCTGGATTGGCCTGACAGGGTATCGAATTGGCCAGTCCGGGTGTCGAATTGGCTGTCGAGTTGGCAAGATTGGCTCAGGCTGGCATCCGGAAGCACATGACTTTTAAGGAATTTACAGAAAACTTTGCAAGGGGACCGCTTACAAGTGCCTCATGTGCGTATTGGTTTCGATTCCAGGACGTGGAGCAGGAAAACTTGCACACCTGGTTACCGCACTCTGGCAATGTCGAGAGGCAAGCACTAAGGGCCACAACTGCAATACTTAAGTCAGTCACCGAGACTCCACTATTTTTCTACCCCACTTCATCGGCAGTTTGTCCAGTTTAGAACCGACATACATACGCGACATACCCAGCCACGCACGCGAGCTGGCGGCGCATTTCGCGACGATGGGCTCCCCCCTCATGATTGGCGGTGGCGGGCTGGCTTACACGCTGCTAAGAATTAGGTTCAACGAGCAGACAGGGGACGCGGCGTTCCTCATCCTTGACCCACACTACACCGGCGGTGAGGCTGCCCCCTAGGGCTCCGGAAAGGTATGCACGTGTGAAGGAAGGACACTTCGTGACGCGGAGGGGAGGGGAGGGGAAGCACAGAACCGGGTAATCGGGCGACAAGCCGTTCAATGAGTGGCAGACTTTCTGGGGGTCGCTTGATCGTGATTCTCGGGGTTTGATGTGCCCCCGATAAGAGTCCAGGTCAAGCATTGCAGCAGCTGGGAAATGAACGGTCCTTGCGAGATTCTCCTCCTATGGTTTTAGAAAGAGAAGCCGTAGTGGGGTGTCGGCCCTGGGCCCCGGCCCCTGGGGGCCCCGGGCCCGGGCCGTCCACGCCGTAGGCTGGGATGCAGAACCCTAACTCCATCACCAGCTGCCGTGTCCGATCTGTGGTACCCGCGCCTATTGGTGTGCGAGCGAGCCCTCACTTACCTGGAACGAATGGGAACACATGTGAACGCACAGGAACGAACGGGAACACCCGGGAACACTCGGGAATGCACGGAAACGCACAGGATTCTGGCGACTGCCGTACGTGTGCCGTACTCTGGCATGCGCCCCATGTTTAACACCCTTAACTACGCTACGTCTAAGCACTCACGGTGAAATTGACGATTGGCAAGGAGACCTCACCAAAACCTCATTACTGCAAATGTCACCACTAGGATCGCAAATTCCCGATTCAATACGCTGCGTAAAGGAGTCGGCCATGCAGGCAGCAATCAGGATGTTGCCCAATCAGGACGGCGTAGGGAAAACTGTTTTGGGTTCTGCGCGAACAGGCCATAGGCGTTGTAAAGAATGCAGGTACTTGGCCGTTGTTTTATAACTTTAGGTGCATCCGTTGTTCACAATATAATGCCGTAAATGGAGTTGATTACGATGACCTCAACGATTCGCAAGGTCACTAATTCCAATGCGACCAAACTACCATAACTACGGAACGCGCGCATCCGCAGGCAGGCAAATTGACCCCATGACCCCACCTACGACTCAGCTCATCGTGCAGTTCTACGCGAGCGCTGACCGCCAGACGGTATGTACCAGCTCGCGGGTCCCCCCTCTTACACATGCCGGCCGGCCACGCTAAGATGCATGCTAGCACTCCCCGTCACCTCTCAGTATTTGGGCTTTGCATCCCTAAACTCCTTCCCATGCAGCACGCCCGCCATCCCTACGGCCCCTCTTCCCTTTCATTGCCTTCTCCGGCCCGCCATGCTGTGCCTGCTATGCCTTAAAAAGGCACGGGTACATTAAAGCTCATTTGTTTCAGCCCTAGCTGCTTGGACAGCTCCTTGCGCCTGGTGGGGCTCTTGTTCCGCGCCACGTACACCCAGGGCTCCTTGTAGGCCTCGAGCTCCAACTTGAGCTTGTCCACCTCCAGCCGAGTAGCTGCCTGCATCAGGGTGGTAGCGGCGGCCATGCTCGACTCCGCCTGGGCGGTCAGCGCGGCCCGCTCCTGATCCGCCTTCTGCTTCTCCTGGGACAGCAGCGCGGCAACCTACGGCGGACCAAGTACGGCAGGACATAGTCGGCAGATTTGTCAGCACACCTCTTCCGGAGTGTGAAGAATCCAAAAGAGCAAAGAAATCAATGGCAATCTTCCGGTGCGCCCTCTGCGTGCCATGCACCTCCGCCTGGCCCCAGCTTTAAACCCTTTCCAGCGCTCCTCTCTTCAGGTCCTCCAAACCCCATGGGGTCACGCGACCGCAGCAGCCGGCAGCTCCCAGCGAGTACGTGCATGGTTCGCCGCCGGCCCACCCACCTCCATCCTCTGGCGTTGGCTATCCTGCGACGCCTGGCGCACTCGGCCCCTTGACGCCAGCAGCGCCTCCCGCATCTGGTGTGTGCGGTTGGACAGCAGCTTGCGAGCGTGCGCGTCGTGCTCCGCAAGCACCGCCACTGCCTGCGGAGGGAGCGGGGAGATTACCGCACAAAGCCGCATGTAAATCCACAAGATACACCAGGGGAGCCTGACAGGCATTAGACGTGGGATAGGGAGGGAAATGGGTCTTGCGATTAAGCAAGAAACTGAAACGCAATCTCCAAAAAGCTGAAACGCAACCTATTCCACACTCCCCTAAGGCCCCATAAGTCCGCAGTGTGATGAGGGATGCTGGGATGCTTGCAGTACAAAGCCGTCAGCCAGAACCTGCAGGGCCCCCAAAAGGGTGGGTCGTGGGGGGGGGAGCCGTTCGCGTTATACAACCCCCATCCTGCCAGCGCCTATCCCAGTTGACCTCCTAGCTTCCCAGAGGGCAATCACATGGTTTGCTTGTGTGCCAGCCTGCTCTGCGCGTCCGCGCCTCAGGCACCCGCCCTCCCCCCATTGCTCCGCCCTTTCCAACGGCCTCCCTCAGCACACCTGCTGCAGCCGGTAGCACTCCTCCGCGGCAGCCTGGGTGGCCTCCTCGGCCTCGTCCAGCGCAATCTCGCTCGCTGCGACCCGGTTCTGTCGGTTAGCAGGAAGCGATCGGGTGCTGGGAATCACGTGTGATTGAAACGGCGATGTCTTCGGGCCTCTGGTTTCATGACTTCACCTCCTAAAGACAAGACCTTGGCCTTGTCCGCCCCTTACATACGGGAGCGGATCGGTAAGCAAGTGCTCGGTTGCCGTGCGCCAACAGGCCTTCCTGTCGCTTCACCGTACCGCAACGCTTGCACGGAGACTTAAGTAGTGCTAACTGCTACTAACTGCTGCCGTGTGATATGTACCGCATTTGGCCCTCACCTGCATGTCCAGCAGGGCCCCTTGCGACTGCCGCAGTTGCTGCTCCAGCTCCTCCACGCGCCGCCGTAGCTGCTGGTTCTGCGGGACGACGATGACGATGACGACGTGAACAGCACCGGGCCGTGGTCAGAACACCAATGCGGCGGTGCGTGTGACTCCACCCACCATGCCACTTCCCCGGCACAGAGGTGCTCGAGGTGGCACGATAACGGACCGCTGTACGATAACGGAAGATCTGCCTCATCCGTGGCCTCTTTAAACCCGTCCGGTGCCCCTGTCCTGGTTAGGCTTGCCATGCCATGTCTTGCCATGTCAGGGAACCCCGTTGATGTTCCTCCCTCCATCTGCTGCATGGGCCCGACCCACCCTTCAGGTTTGCCCCTGGCCGAGCTTTGAGTGGCTTCCGACCGTGTCGTACAGCTCAGGTACCGGACCTAATGGCCCCCTCGTAATGGTGATCGCCCGCCCTAGGGGTCTGGCAGCCGCGCTCCTAACACCGCCCCCACGGTACCTGGCCTTCAATGGTTGCCGCGGCCGCCATGTGCAGGGTCGTGGTGTTCTGCAGTTGCTCCTCCAGCGCTGCCTGCAAGCAGGGTAGATAGGTAGGTGTGTACTTGGGCTGGGCAACGGTATCGGAGGTCCAAGGGTATCTGCGCCTCTTGGGGGTCTTTTGGCATGGCCGCCTCTTCTGGCGGTGTGGTATTGGCCACACATAAGGCCCGCATGCGACCATCAAGACAGCTGGAAAGCTCCTTCCTTGCTAGGTGCGAGGCGACCCAGTAAACTGAACATCAGTGACTGAGGGCTCACCACTGCTCACCCCCCCATTTCCCCCAACCTGCGCATCAAGCTCTGCATCGTCCGCTGCTTGCTGCAGGGCGCTGACATGCGCAGATGGACCCAACACCACGCCACTCACGATTCTAGTCGCCTGCTCCGTCATGAACTCCCGATACTCCTCGTCGATATGCAGCACGATGTCAATAAGCCATTTGGTTCGTTGGGCTTCTCGCTGCAGGGGCAGAAGGCGGGCCGAACCGAAGGGCAGGGACTTAAGGGTGCTTCAGGTGTGGCTGCAAAGCTGAGCTGAGGAACTTACCCAGCGGGACCCTGAGTACCTCTGTATAAGCGCGCTAGCTCGATGCTTGAGCATCATATCTTGTGCACGTGGCGACTTTTTCTGCACTCCGAGCTCCTTCGTATTTGCCGTGGGCGCGCTGCCCGGGCGCTGCATCGGGACATGGCACACGACTTGTTGGCGTAGGCTTGACCCATATCGCAATAGAAACAGCATGCTCAAGGCCCACGAATTTACGGACCTTTGTGTGTGTAATGTTCATCAATGGCACAAACGTCGTCGTGCTATGACCCGGCTCGAAACCACTTTCAGGAGCACCCAAGGTCTTTACAAATAAAGAGTCATATTTAACTAAGCCTGGCGTTTTGGACGGCCCTTGCTGCCATTCTGGCCATGCCGAGTCCGTGAGCTTTTGCCCCGCCATAGCCTTGACTCGGTCCAAAAATGTCGCTGCGAAGCTTTTACATGTAAAAATGAAATAAATTCAACGCTGAACGCAAGTCTCTTCAGCCTATGTGCAGTTTTTGTCGGCTACTGCAGGAACCCGTACTTTCTAGCCTGGGAAGGCTTCAAGGTCTGTCATTCTGTCAGGTGCTTGGTAATGTTGACGTTTTCTCGGAAACCGAAAGGTGAGCAGTAGCTCTGATCATTGAACTTGCGGCGTGAACCATACAGGCCCCCTTCAGGACGCCGAGTGCAAATATGGTTTTGATTAAAGATACATAATTATAGATGTTAGAAAATCCAGTGCTGTATCTGAGCCCAGCAAGGTAAAAGAAACGGCACAGGGAACGAATGGACAGAAAATATTTAATATGTATTAGGCTGGGAGTGAGATTGCGCATCCAGTTTGTAATTGCGTTGCCGCGGTTTCAGAAGCATGAAATGGATGCTCCGTGGCTCCGCACACGGCTCCGGAGCGGGATACTATATTCTCTGGTTTATCCTCAATATGTCCAAAGTCCCATCAATAGTCTGATTAAGGGCACGCTTCTGTACCCGATAAGAGCTAGGTGGTCCAATAGTGTGGCGTTTCTTTCATCGCTTGCCGTTCGATGAGGAAAAATGCCTAATGCTGGATTGTGCTGCCGGTTACTTCCGATGTATTCTTTGAGTGTGCTTATACTTATATGCTGCTTCCAAGTATTGCTGGCGGCCCGGGTAGTCCCAAAGGGTTTCCTCGGGGGTTCGTTGGGCAGCCTCCAAGGCAGCCAGCCCTGCATTCCTGGCGAGGTAAGGGCTGCTCTCGCTCGCCAGAGCCTATTCATAGCACCCTTAACATGTTGCCCGCAAAACTTGGGCCAGGTCCACCTTGCCGTGTCGGACGATAACAGAGACATCCGCGCGAGCTGGCGCACTCTTGAGACCGGGTACGAAACGCTTTCATCATGTAGCATTATTTTTAATCATATCATGTTGTGGTGCGCATAAATCCCTTGGCATCATGCCGCGCGTTGCAGGTGCCCTTCGACCGTTTCATATGGGTTGGCTGATTTGGACGGGAAACCTCTGCTGGCGGCGCCGGTGCTCCAATCAGATGGCAGCAGCTACACCATCTCGGTAGGTGCCACAACCGGCAACCCCATTCTGCTCCCTGACGCCTCCTTCCTTGCCGGTCGTCCACCTCGCGCTAGCAGGAAAACACGATCCCCCGCGTGTCCCCTCCGTTGGCCCTTGTTGAGAGGCGCACGGGTTGGGCAGCCAATTTCCACACAGATACGTGAATGGTTGGTTGTGACTGAGTGATTGTTGTGTTTGCCCTGTGTGGGTTGAAATGGCGGGTGGCCACCATGTCAATGTGGGTTGCACCGTCCCTGTCCTTGACCCCCCTTTCCCCCCTAACCCCCCCCCAGGAGGACCTAATGTGCGATGCCCCGGCCGCAGCAAAGAGCTTCACCGTCATCATGCATACAGCAGTCATGTCCCGCCTGGTGAGCAAATGTACGACACCGCAGGACAGTGCACGGCACGGCATAGCCGTACTGGGTGCATGGCGTGCTTAGTAATGCCAGGGGAGTGTCCAGGCTCGAGCATCCCACGGAAGGATCACCCCAACACCTTATGGGTCGTTGCAGCCAACCAATCAACTAACCAACCTACCTACCGTTTAAATCCGAGGGGTCCACTGGCTACTGCGTCGTCTGGGGCGTAACCGCCCCCCCAACCATCCAGCAGGGGCTGGAGCCAGCGGGGTGGCGGGGTGGGCAACGGGTGTTACCCACCCGCCCCAAGTTCTCCCCCCAACCGCCCCCTTCCCTGCACACGTCCCCCTTCCCCCCTCCCGCGGTCTCCTACCCCCCGCTCCCTTCTGCTCTGTCCCCCCTCCGTCCCCCTCCCCCCCCAGGAGCCCGGGGCCCTCTACTGGTACCGCCCGGGGAACAGCGACCGGCAGTGGACGTTCCGCGCCCCCCCGCGGCCGTCAGACGGGGGCTCCGGCACCGGGGGCCGCCAGCGCTTCTCCTTCATCGCGTTTGGGGACATGGGCGAGAGCAACATCAAGGCCAGGAAGGCGCCCATGTGAGTGAGTCTGCGTGTGCTGTGGACTCCCCCCGCCTGCCTTCCAACCCGGCAACGACCCGGGTGCACCCCCCGACTGAGGCGTCACGTGGCGCTGCAGTACTCCGCCACTGCCATGTGGGCCGTGTGGGGGTATCGGTTGATGGACGGAGGCCCCTCAAGTGCCAGCCGGCCAGCCGAGGCCGCGCCGTGCGACATGAAGTTCAAGGAGGCCTCGCTGCCTACTAGGGGCCCCCTACTTGCCTCCCATCTTGCAATACGTGTTGTTGCCCGTGGGCCCACCCCCCGAGGTGGGGACGTCTGACTGCGCTCCCTGCACGCGGGAACCCCCTACCCCCTGACACCGGCATTTGTCTTCTCCTGGACTATCCGTCTATCTCTGGTATTCATTCACCAATGGTTCGCCTTACCTCTCCCCCCCCCGACACCACCTCAACCCCCCTTCAGGGCTGGAGCGACCGTGAAGGCCATACTAGACGAGGTGGACACAAGTCCCGTGGACCTCATTCTGCACGTCGGTGAGCACAGGAGCCCCCGTGTATGCATTTATGTATGTATGTATGTATCAGTAGTGAGTATTAACCCATGGACCATCCAAACCCATTCATGCTCCTCCGTCTCTTTCCCCCGACCACGCGCACCTCCTCCTCCTCCTTCCGGCCCCCCCCCTTTACACCCCCCCTTTTACCCCCCACAGGCGACCTGGCCTACGCGGACGGCAAGTACCCGGTGTGGGACTCCTTCATGGAGCAAATAGAGCCGCTGGCGTCGCGGGTGCCGTACATGGTGGGCATTGGGAACCATGAGGCGGGGCCGTGCCGCTCCGGTAACGATCTGGATCCCTCGGGGGAGTTACCGTACAAACCCGATTGGGGGAATTACGGGGCGGAGAGCGGGGGCGAGTGCGGGGCCATGGCGGCGCACCGGTTCATCATGCCCGGCAGCGGCAGCAGAGCGGCGGTAGCACCGGCGGTAGCTTCAGGCGGCGCCGTCAGCAGCGGCACTGGCGGGGCAGCCTTCGAAGTTGTCGGAGCTGAGCTGGTTCCGGAGTCGGCGACTGCATTGGAATCTGGATCTGAATTTGGATCTGGGTTTGGGGTTGAGCGGCGAGCCTTGACCTCGCCGGGTTCCTCCGCTGCCGGAGCGGTCTCCTCCGGTGATGGTGAGGAGGAGGAGGAGGAGGAGGAGGAAAAGGGGGAGCAGGGGAAGGGGGCCCAGGCTACTCCTGCTGCTGCTCAAGATGAAAATGATGACGGGAGTGTGAAGGATGAAGGTGCGGACAAGGATGTGGCGGCTGCCGCTACTGCTGCTACTGCGGCTGCTGCTGCCGTTGGCCCCGGGGAAATCGTCGTCTCCGACACCGTTTACCGCCGTAAGCCCCACAACCCACCTTTCTGGTACTCGTTCGAGTACGGGCCCGTACATTTCACAATGCTGTCTTCGGAGCACAATCTGGAACGGGGCAGCGCCCAGCGGAGGTGGCTGGAGGACGATTTGGCGGCCGTGGACAGGTGCCGTACACCCTGGGTCATTGTCGGTCTGCACCGGCCCATGTGAGTGCTATGACTTGGTGGGCTCAGTGCCTCCTGCTGCTGCTGCTGCTGCTACTGCTGCAATATTAGCAGCGCGTCGCCAAACGCATACAAAATGCATGCATGCAATGCTTAACGTGATGTGTATGTATGTACGTCACCGTCGGTATATGTGGTGTAGACGAGGCTTCCTTGCATCCCCCTTCCCTTTCGCCCAACACATAGGGCCCACCCCGCCATTCCGTACTCGCCCCGCACGGCCGCCCTTTCCTCCCCCCTTCCCCCCCCGCCTGCCACCCCCCGCTGTCCCCCCCAACGCACCCTGCCGGCCAGTCTGGTCGCAGCCCCTGCTGACAACCTCCCCCACCCCCCCCACCTCC